GCGCGTCCGGGCCGAGGCGGTCCCCGCGCCAGCCCAGGTAACAGGGGCGGGGTTCGGAGGAGCTTCGCGTCGCGGCGTGATGACGCCAAGCCGCGCCCGGCGTGGCGCGCTAGGCGTGCGCGGCCGCCGTGCGGCGAGGCGTTCCCACCTCTTGCGCTGAGGGAGAGTAGGGCGCGCCGTCGGCGGACATGTCCCAGGCTTTTGGCGCTGTGGACAGGGAAGAGGAGCCGGCGGAGGAAGATTGTCCTGAACTGGTCCCCATTGAGGCGAAGCAGAGAGAGGAGGAGGAACAGTCTGGCCCCGGCGCTAAGATCCCAGTCACAATTATCACCGGGTATTTAGGTAACTAACCACCCCGGTCAGAGAATGTTGTAAACGCTAGTATCCTGGCATTTGGGGGGGCTCACGGTGCCTCTTTTTCTTAGGCATCCGGGCCTCTGGCCAACAGCAAATGTCTCTGAGGTACCGGCTGGGCCTCTCGCTCCGCGTATGAGTTGCGTCTCATCTCCGGGGTGAATGACGCCCAGACCCCCTCTGCGTTACATTCACATTTATTAAGTGAGGTTGAAAATGAACCTCGCATTTTGAAACTAGTTCTAGTTTTGCAGTGTGAAGCCCAGACCCGCCCCTAACCTATGCCTGTGACCTTTAACAAATTACCTTACCTTTCTGAAGCTTATCTACTTCACTAACAATGCAAGCAATACTGGGCTCCTGAGTTTCTCAGCTGCGAAATAGGGCCGGAAATATCTACCTTATAAGTCTATTGCCATTAAAGGGTACCCTGTCTGTAAAATGCCCGACACAAGGAGGGACATTCCTCAGTAAATTCCCCTTCCCCACAAGCCATTCTCTTCCAGCCATGCCTGGAAATACGACCTATCTCAAACTTTTTTTTTTTTTGAGGTTTCTTTGTAAAGCACTGTAGGAGAAAGTAAGAATAAAATCTCTGCCCTTCAAGACTATTTTTTTCTTTTTAATTGTTTTATTTTTCAATTACAGTTGGCATACAATATTATATTAGTTTCAGGTGTGCACTCCAGTGATTAGATGTTATGTAACTTACTAAGTGATCATTCTGATAAGTCGTGTACCCATCTGACACCATACATAGCTATTAGAATATTATTGACTATATACCCTATGCTGTAGTTTACATCCCCATGACTGTTCTGTAACAACCAATTTGAATTTCTTAATCCCTTCACCTTTTTCACACTTCCTCCCAACCCCCCTCTGTATCTATGAGTCTGTTTTTGTTGTTTGTTTTATTTTTTAGATTCAGTTGTTGATATATATTGCCATTTTATTCATATTTTTTTGTCTTCTTTAAAAAGATCCTTTAACATTTCATGTAATACTGTTTGGGTGGTGATGAACTTCTTTTGCTTTTTCTTGTCTGGGAAGCTCTTTATCTGACCTTCAATTTTGAATGATAGCTTTGCTGGGTAGAATAATCTTGGTTATAGGTCCTTGCTTTTCATCACTTTAAATATTTCTTGTCAATCCCTTCTAGCCTGTAAAGTTTCTATTGAGAAATCAGACTTACGGTCTTATGGGAGCTCCTTTGTAGGTAACTTAATTGCTTTTTTTGTGCTGCTTTTAAGATTCTCTCTTTGTCTTTAACTTTTGCATTTTAATTGTGATGTGTCTTGTAGGCCACTTTGGGTTCCTCTTGTTTGGGACTCTCTAGGCTTCCTGAACTTCTATGTCTTATTTCCTTCACTATGTTAGGGAAGTTTTCTGTCATTTTTTCAAATAGGTTTTCAGTTTCTTGCTTGCTCTCTTCTGGCACCCCTGTGATGGGAATGTTGGTATGTTTGAAGTTGTCCCAGAGGCTTCTTACACTATTCACATTTGGGGGGGATTCTTTTTTCTCTTAACTATTCCGATTAGGTGTTTTTTGCTACCTTATATTCCAAATATCTGATTAAAAAAAAAATTTTTTTTTAATATATCTTTATTGATTTCAGAGAGAGGAAAGGAGATGGAGAGAGAGATATAGAAACATCAATGATGAGAGTCATTGATTGGCTGCAGCCCACAACCCGGGCATGTGCCCTGACCGGGAATCGAACCCCGATTGCCTGGATCCTAGGTCGACGCTCAACCGCTGAGCCATGCCCAGCCGGGCCAAATATCTGATTTTAATCTTGGCTTCATCCATTCTACTGTTGATTCCCTGTAAATTATTCTTCATTTAGTTAATGTAGCCTTCATTTCTGGCCCTTTGTTTTTTATGATTTCCATGTCTTTTTTAATGCTGTTGGAGTTCTCACTAAGTTCATTGAGCATCTTTATAACCAGTGTTTTGAACTCTGCATCTAGTAGATTGATTGCCTCTGTTTTGTTTAGTTCTTTTTCTGGAGTTTTGTTCTGTTCTTTCATTTGGGTCATCTTTCTTTGACTCCTCTTTTTAGCAGCCTCCCTATGTTTATTTTTATGTATTAGGTAGAACTGTGCATCTCTCAGGCTTGCCTCATGTTGTAGGTGTCCTGTAGGGTCCAGTGGCACAGCCTCCCCAGTCACCCAAGCTGGGCACTCCAGTTGTGGCTGTGTGTCCCTTGAGTGTTTTGCTTGTGGAGGTGATAGGGTGGTGCTCTGGAGTGGTCTGAAGCTGTCCACCAGGTGCACTGGCTCTGGGGCCTCCTGGGAAGCGCAGGCCAAGGTCAGCCGCCTCCTGTGTCCTGTCTGGGGCACCCAACATCAGTTACACAGCAGATGGCTGCTACTTGTGCTGGGCTTCGAGGTGCCTAGGAGAGGCCAAGCTGCAAATCAAAACTGGCTGCCACTAATCCTGGGCCTGGGGCCACGTATCGAGAGGTATGAGGCACACTGAGGCCAGATGCTGCTTGTTTGAGAGATTTTAGGAGAGTCAGAAGCATGAGCCAAGACAGGCCGTTTGTGTGGAAAAGCCACTGGAAACAGCTTAAGTGGACCCACAAGTTGGGTGGGGCAGGGTCTCAGGAAATCACCAGGGCCAGGCAGACAGTTGTTAGCCAGGTTGGTGGAGACCCGGATATGGCACTTGCCTCCTGGTGCTGTGAGGGGAGGGCTCAGAAAAGGGACAATGGCCTCTGCCAGCACTTCCATCTGGGAAAATGCTGCCCCCCACCCCCACCCCAGCTTTTGCCCTGATGCCAGACAATTCAGTTTCTCCTCGTATGTCTCTGCTGTCTTTCAAGCTGCTTCCCCTGCACTGGAGCTCAGAAGGAGTGAGTCCCAGTAAGTCCTTGCCTGGAACTCCAGCAGCCCTCTGTCTCACTGAGCCACAATCCCTGTTGGTTTTTACAGCCAAAAGTTATGGAGACTTCTCTTCCTGGCACTGGAACTCTGGACTGGGGAGCCTGGTGAGGGGACGGGAGCTCTCGCTCCTCATGGGGGATCTCTGTTGCTGAGTTATCCCTGCTGATTTTTATCTGCCGCATGTGAGTATGGGACCAACCTGTTCTCTGTCTCGCCTCCTCCTACCAGTCTTGATGTGGCTTCTTTAAATCCCTAGTTGTAGGACTTCCATTCTGCCAGATTTCAGGCAGTTCTGAATGATGGTGGTTTTGTAGTTTAGTTGTAATTTTGATGTGGTTGTGGGAAGATAGAGTACCACATTGACCTAGCCCACCATCTTGCCTGGAAGCAAAACTCTGTTTCTTAAACTGAGGTCATTCAGGAGTGCACAGAGACATTTGAATTCATAGGTTTGTAAACACACTACAGTTTCCTAAAGGACAATTTATGCGTTTACAATAGAGGTACTTTATTGGAAAAGTTAGAGAAGTTTTATTTTAAAGCCTTATAGTTAAATAGAAGAGCTAGAATAAATATCTGACCATATTAAAAGTATGGGGAAAGTTAAGAAATGTAAAAAAAGTGAAACGCTTTGGGTAAATAATAGCATTCCTAGATGCTGGTAGAGACAAGTACAAACTTGGTGCACATGAGGACCTTTTACATAAAAATAAGAATTAAATCCCTGTTGTTTCCCTTTTTGTTTTGCATACTGTGAGTTTATTCCTGTTTTTACTCAGGACTAATTTTATAATGGAATTTATTTTTGGTATTTTCCACTGTTATTCAAAGACTGTTCTTCTGAGAAATTGAGCAAATTCCTTATCCAAAACAGTATAGTTCAGACTTGCTCCTCTGGCCTTCCTCATTTTGCTCACTGGTAGGGTAGTAGAGCATTGGAGATAAAGGTCTGAAGCTTAGGATGAAGCTCATGCCAACAACCTTGTTGCTGAATCTAGGGCATAGTTTCACTGTTTTATTCTTGATCATTTTCTCTTTCTTGAAACATTGTTCCTTTCACTTCCATTTTTCTGATATTTCCACCTACTTCTCTGGTTTCTCCTTTTAAAATCCCCCCCCCCGTCCATTCTTTGAACTTCACACCCAGATCCTATTTTGATATCACAGATATCTCAAACTCAACATGTCCAAAACTTCATGTTATCATCCCCTCAAATCCTCCTGCTCCTGTCATCCTAACCACCTGGAATACTCTAAAATCTTCCTAACTAGTCTTGAGTTATGATGCCCTTTAATATATTCTGTGTATTTTAGCCTTAATGATCTTTTTTAATGCCAGTTTGATTATGTCACACCCTTCCGTGGTTTCCACTTGGGTAAAAGTTTAAATCCCTTAACATGAATTACAAGGTCCTGTATGGTCTGGCTCTTAACAACTTCTCCAGCCTTCAAAACTGTGGCCCATCAACACTGACCTACTTCTAAAAGGTGCCAAGAGTTTTAGTCCTTGTATATTATTCTTACTCTTCCTCCTTTGGCTAGATGCCCTCTTATGTGCTCTATAACATCTTATACATCCCTTACTAAATGTATCATCCTGTGACATGATTGCCTCTTTTTTGATCTGAATTTCTCTCCATATCCCACTTAATACTTTTAAGCTGCATGATGAAGGTAGTTTGTCTCTGTCTTGTGTACTTTTTACCAAGACCCAGCATAGAGTCTGGTCCACAGTAGACTTTTGAATGAACTACATGTTAAAGTGTTTTGCTTTGTGATATGGTTAATTATTAAGCCCTATTAATTTTCTTAGGTCTCTTATGCTCTCCCCTTCCTTTACATTTTTACTGCCAGCACCTACTTCAGCACTCATGTTTAAGGTCTCTGTCTTACACTTGGACTGGCTTTAAGGATTTCTTTATGGCCCTGCCTCCTTAAGGTCTGTTGTCCCTTTCATTCTATACTTTACACTTTAGTGATGTTGAGCTTCCTACATAAAGCACTCTAAACACAAGCCTTCTACCCTTCAACAGTTTTTAAAAGAATATGACCTAGAAATGTTGAAGATATTAGTATCCTAATACTCAATAAATCCCTCCTAATTATACTCTAGAAATCTTGTAAATCCACTTCAGAAGATGTGTACAAGTGTTTGTAATAGCAAAACACCAAAACAGCCCAAATATCCACCAACAGAAAAGTGATAAATAAATGAAATATTTATACAATTGAACTACACTGCTGTGCATTTGGGATTTGTTTTTTCTCTGTGAACTTTGGTGTCTATGGCACTCACAAAACAAATTATTTTCTTCTACTTCAGCTGAACATACTAGGTTTAATATGCCACCTACTGGATAAAGTTAGTGTAGCTTTATGGGTTTTTCTTTCTAACGACTGCATATTCTGTCTTGTTATTTCTTATATCAATTCTTTATTTTGTGTGTGTGTATGTATGATACATATATAGAAAATCAATTTTATAGGTTGCTTTAAGCATACTAAAAGTAGATATATAGTCAGTTTGAATTTGTGTCTGGTTAATGATGGATGTTGAGATAAAAGGTCTTTGTATGTAAATTTTAGGGAATTAAATCATATATTCTTGGCTAATTGTCATCATGCAAAAGGATTTAAATATTTTATAAACTACATGAGTACTTTTTTCCTTGGAAGCCATTACTTCAATATTTTTTTATTTAATAGAAAATTTAGATGCCCTTATATTAATTGTATTATAAGTTATGTAGAAGACATATTTTTTTCATAATGAGGTTGAAGAAAGCTGTGTGATCCAACTTGTAGGAGTATTTATAAGTATTTATAAAATGATGTCAACAAAAGATTTTTAATACTTTTCAAAGGGTTTTAATCTTCCTCTAAAATAATCTTCTTAGTTAAACAATATTTGAAAATAGCATGCAAATTTTTAAAACCATTGGAACTCTATATCTTTTTTGTGTCTTTAAAATTGTTCTTTAAATTTTATTATTTAAAAAAATATATTTTATAGGTGCTGGGAAGACTACACTTCTGAACTATATTTTGACAGAGCAACACAGTAAAAGAGTAGCAGTTATTTTAAATGAATTTGGGGAAGGTAAGTAAAGTTCAAGAAATGCTATGTTGCAAGAATTTATAGGACAGTTAATTCCACTCGTGACTTGATATTCCATATTTAAAAATGAAAATGCAAGGCATTATAATGTGAATACATTGATATAGTTTTGGAAGAATTAGATTAATTTCTGTCAAGTTTAATTTGGACAGATTTTGAATACTGAAATTGGATAGTTTCTATAAAATTTTATTTTATATAACTTTCAAATTCATATCAATGGAATTAAAATTTTACATGAAATAAATAACTCCAGAAGTAAAAATATATGATATATGATATAAAAGAAAGTTCTTTCAGGAACTAGAAAAGTGCTTTTGTACTGACTACATTGTTTAATATTAACTTCTGAAAAATTTGTAAGTGCTTCAATTATTATAAGTTTTTCTTGTTGAATATTTATCTGCAAAGCAATTAAAACTGAAGATTTTAAAAATAAGTTAACACATGATCTCCATCCTCAAGAAACATCAGTTATCAGTGAAAATACATGGCATTAAACATCCCAAATTTTTTGTCTTTAATATTGAACTGTAGTTTTAAAAAATCTATATGGCAGTGTAAGACACAGTTCTTTGATTACTTTTATAAGTTTTTCTTCTTAAGTGTATATTTGAATAAAGGCTCACTTTTAGCCGAAAAATGTAACTTCTATGGGATATTGCATAAGGTCTACTATATTTTTTCCATTGTAAATTAATAAAGGAGCTAGTTTTAATGAACAGGATGGGAAGCCTGTTAAACATGGTTCCTGGTTTTAATAAACTAAAGAGAAATGTCCTGTTAGACAAAATTGAAATCCTAAGATTTTTAAATCACAGGCTTTTATTCTAGCTTCTTATTAACTGATTTTTGGAAGCTGATGGCTGTATTATTTCATATTACTTTATTCTTTCTGGATCATTTTCACAATTTGTCCTTTACAGCATTCATAATACTTCCCTTCACATTTTACTGATATTCTTTCTCTATACCCTGAATTCTGTAGCAATCCCTTTCAAAGCTCTTTGTCATTGCCTAACTGAAATGTAAACAAAAAAATATATGAATGAAAAAAATTTTTTTGGCTGTTTTGCTTTATTGGACATTTAGAACTGTTTCCTGGCTTTGGTATATTTCTTTATTGGAAGAAAATAAGACATTTAAAATCACTCTTATACAATAACACGCATATAAAAATCTTAAACACTTTTTCTCAAGTAAGCATTGCTAGGGAACATGTGTATTTGACTAAAATTTAATAATTAAGTGAGCACATTGATACCCTGGCTAAGCAAACTTTCTCGAATGAACTAAGGTTTTTATGCATACCTGGAATACTGAGTAGGCTGTCTAATAGAAACAAAAACAATTTAGAGGAAGGATGAAAAGAAAAATATAGATAAGGACCTTAAAAGGTTGAAGTGCATATGAAAACTAACATATAAAACATACTATCTAGAAAGTTGGCCACAAACAAGAAAGAGTCTTTGAACTAGCTACCTTATTAGGAAATGGGAGTGGGCAAGGGAGAGGCCTAAAGAGGAAGTATGGTATGATTCATTAATTTTGGATTTGTCCCCTTAGGGGCTTAAATGCTCTGTAAGAAATGAAAGCTTAGATAACCTGGAGTTAGTATAGTTTAAGGTAGTGAGGCTGCATGAATAGAATGGAAGAATAAGTTATAAAATGCATTATCTGTTTTGAATTCTGCTCTGTTGTTGTCTTTTTTTTTTTTTTTTGGTTTGCTAGTGAATATAATCTAAAGAGTACTTCTGATTTAATTATTCCAGGAAGTGCAGTCGAGAAATCCTTAGCTGTGAGCCAAGGTGGAGAGCTCTATGAAGAATGGCTGGAACTTAGAAACGGTTGCCTCTGCTGTTCAGTAAAGTGAGGAATGTGTTTACTGTGTGCTAGTTGGTTTACTATAAATATCTGCTGATTATGTTTCCAGCTTTGATTTTCTTGTGTAATTTTACTGAATTTACAGTCTGCTTTATTGTATTTTCAAATAGAAAATAGACTTACTAGGATGCATTTTCTTAAAGTGTTTCTTGCTATCTTATTTCTGTTTCTATGTGCTCTAATACTTTGGTCCTTTTATAGAGTTTTTTATTTTTATTTTCGTTATCAGGGTTTACTTAATCTCTGTGGTGCATGAAAATCTCATTTTATCTGTAAAAAATGATTCTGTTTAATAAGTCATTGTTCTTGTTTCCAAGACTTCAACCTGTAAAAACAAAAATTAATGACTATAAAAAAAGCCAAAAATTCTCACATTATGTTCCACCAGTTATAGTCCTTTCCAAGGACTGTTTTATTCACTAATATACCACAGATTTTAGAAAAGGACCTGAAACATAGCAGTCACTCAAATATTTGTTGAATGAATTAGGAAAATTAACACTTGTACTGTGTATTTTGTATATTCTAGTGAATTCAGTTTCTTTCTACATCATTTACTATCTTAGGTGTTGACTTTGAGTCAAATGTATTAACAAAGCTAAAGTCATACAGATTTCCTTAAACAACCAAAGTGCAATCTATTAATTATCTTCTTGCACTTTTGATATTATAAGAAAAAAGGGACATTAAAACCTGGTACACCAATTTAAAACAGAATTAAAAGGTATTTAATAGTAGCGTCCCTTTAGCTGTTATATTAAACTACTGTAACTCATAAATTTTATCATTATTTTGTACGTTAATTTTTTTTTCAAAAGATAGAAAAATAATAGATTCTGACTTACTTTATAGTCAAGTATATTAAAATTCCTTCTGCTTTTAATTTTAGTAAAATTAAAGTATTGACTTATCATGTATCTGATTTCTTTTTATCTATCATTGTATATGCATCTATTTTTCCCCTCATTGGTAAATATTGGATGGACATTTTGATAGAAGTTTGGGAGTGAGTTAAATTTTCACATGCCTAAATATATATTTTGTCTCATGTTGCAGAATATATTTTTAAATGTTTGTAATGATTGCTTTAAAATATCCAGGCCAATACCAATTATTATGTTTTGGTATTCTCCAGGGACAATGGCCTTAGAGCTATTGAGAATTTGATGCAGAAGAAGGGGAAATTTGATTACATACTTCTAGAGACCACAGGGTTAGCAGATCCTGGTAAGAAACGACATTATTAATAACCAGAATATAGTTCTTAAACATTTAAAAATAAATGTACTAGAGAAATATCTAAAATGAGTATTAAAGCTTTACTCTAGATTTAAAAATATATCTTTGGTTAACAGACAAAAAATACTGGGTTATCATGTTCTTCAGAAGGTGAATCATGATCAAAGTACTTAGTATTTTTAACCTGATAATAGAATTTGAAGGTTTTTTTTCATTGCTTTAGGGTTTTTGGTGGGAACAAAAAATTTTTTAACTATGGAAATTTAGGAAAAATTGAGACATTTGCCTTTTAAGTTTGTATTTGATTGGTCATACTCTGCCAAGATTTTATTTATGATTACTTTCTAATCCAGTTTTCTTAGAAGGTCATTTATAGATATTTAAGGGCTTTTGGACTTTAATTTCAGCAATACTTATTCCTTTAAATTATTGTTAGCATTTTATTTTTCTACTACTAATTTTAAAAATATTTTTTTAATGCTGCTATAAGATGTAGAGTTAAATCAAGCATACTGGGCCTTTTTCCTGGTGTAGATTGAATAATGTTTATTCATGAAGTTTTTACCTTTGAATGTTGCTGTAGAAAAGTCTGATTTTTTTTTTTTCTATTTGAAAGTGACTTGATTTTTCATTCAAAAATGCCTGATATTTTTATTTTTATTTTTATTTTTATTTTTATTTTTATTTTTCAAGTTCAGTAATATACTCTACCCATTTTACCTACACTTGTTTTTCTCATGAGCTCCAGTTTAAAAACTGGGTATTGCTGGGAGCAGAGAGGGAGAAGCAAAAGAAAAGGGGTGATTGAGAGTACCCAATAGGCAATGTGACTTTTAGGCTCAGCTCTCTTAAGATACCAAGTGCTTTTTTTTTTATTCCTTGCATTGCTGAATTCCAGTATATGAATGAATAATATGCCACAATTTGTTTATCCACTCACTTTTTTTAAAACATAATTTTAAAATATATATATTTTTATTGATTTCAGAGAGAGGAAGGGAGAGTTAGAGAGATAGAAACATCAATGATGAGTCATTGATTGGCTGCCTCCTGAACGTCCCCTGCTGGAGATGGAGCCCGCAACTCGGGCATGTGCCCTGATCAGGAATCGAACTGAGATCTCCTGGATCCTAGGTCGATGCTCAACTGTTGAGCCATGCCAGCTGGGCTACTCACTTTTTTAATTGAATTTATTGGGGTGACACTGGTTAACAATTATACAGGTTGCAGGTGCACAATTCTACAACATACCATCTGTATACTGTATTCCCCAGTCAAGTCTCCATCCATCAGCATTTATCCAAGTGCTCACCACACCTGGGTTTGCTCTAACTGCTCATGAATATACATCCCATACCTTGTGCAGAGACATCCTTGAGCTTCAGACCTCTCGATTCATTTTTCTCTGAGCCCTAGAAAGTGACCCCTCCCCATAAATTTGGAGATGATAGGAAACTTTTACCCTTGATTTTTTTTGTTGACTTTTCCCATATTGCTTATTCCTCCCTCAGTTCTACTTCTTGTCATTTTGAAAGCTATTTCTGATAAGTGTTAGAACTTTGTAAACTATTTCCCTATAACCTCTTACTGGATATGGGAGTAGAATTAAGACCTATCATAAGTCACATAGAACTCTATGTTTCTTATTTTAACTACCACTCTTCAAAATTTAAGGCAGGAGACTATGTATTTGGTTGCTGCTGATAACATTTGGCTTTTAAAATTTTCTTTTTTGTTTTATTAGATTTTGAAAAGGAAGATTCTATAATCTAACTTGGAATTTCCTAACCTTTGCACAAATGACATTTTGGGCTGGATAATTCTTTGTTGTAGGGTGCATTGTAGGATGTTTAACAGCGTCCCTGGCTTCTACCCACTAACTGCCAGTAGCAGCTTCCCAGTTGAGACAACTAAAAATATCTCGACATTGCCAAATATTCCCTGGGGGAGAAAAATACCCTAGTTTGAGAACTACTGATTAACTTCATTCCCCTCTCTCTGCTTCTCCTTCTAAACACCTGCATCTAAATTTGAAATAGTTCTTTCTTGTGTAGCCTGGTATTATACCAAAGAATACATCAGATTTAGATTAAAAGCTCTAATACACTCTTACAGTTCAACTTAACACTAGGCAGATATTAACTGTAGAAGAATTACAAGCTATCTGAATAGAAATCATGAATTTTTTAAAAAATAAAATTATTTATGTACAATGTTAGGAATTATAGTGAGTGAAAAAAATTAATATATTTTATGATTTATTGTTTGGAGTAGTGATACTCACAATAGATTTACTTTTTTCTCCCTCATTAATTAAACTCATGTTGTTAACCAAGTTAAGTGAAGAAAATTCTTATTGGCAACTCAGTTGTTTCCCGTTTAGGCGACTGACACTTTCCAGTTCTAAGCTAAATAATTGTCATGGTAAAGTAATTTCCGTGAAAGGGACAGACATTGATTCAGCCCCTGTTACTCACAAATCCTATTTCAGTCAAATTGGAAAACTATTAAGTTTTTGGGAAAAAATCAATAGGTATCAGGAAACCATTAGATCTTGGGGCCCTTGCTATATCTTGCATGAGTAATCACTGTAAACAGCTGACAGGTATTTCATTGTTGACACAGAGTGATGCTTGGGGGACCATGTCTTGTCAGGGTAGGTGGACAGTTTTAGACATTGGAATGAGTTCAGTTATCCTTGTTTTTCCCCAACACTCATTGTTTTAGACAGTCCTGTCACTAACTGGACTGTGATGCTTTCAAAGATCAAATACTTTCTTTGCTGTCAGTTTTCTTTTTCTAGTGTTGTGGCAAACTAATCAGGGTGTGTGGCTTGGTATTGAACCAGTTTCTGTCAAAAACAAGTTTTAATTTCTTACTTAGAAATTATTTTTCCCTAGACCCAAATTTTCTATCAGATAAATAGTGTAAGTTTTTTTTGTTGTCCTTTTTCTTCTTTAAAATTTACAGGTACATTTTTTTATTTTTTGGACAAGTGATTTTGGAATTATCTTTTTTTTTTTTTATTTGCTTTCCTTTAGAGAGAGAATTTATTATTTTTGAACTATATGGTTATTATATTCAGGAGAGAAAATAAAAATAAGTTCTCTGTGCACACAGCCATATTGCCAAATTAATATCTGTTGGTAAATTATTATGACATTGGTAGAAACTTGGTGTTGGGTTTGTTATTTGATAAAAGTTGGTCTGTTGTTTTTTAAGATAAAGAGAAAGGGGAAGAAATGGGTATAAATAGTAAAAGGTTCTATCACTGTAATTCCCATAAGAAGATTGGAAACCCATATTTAATTTGCATATGTATTGCCTGCTAATTCTTTTGGGGCAAATTAAAACATTATGGATAGAATTGTGTTTCTCAGTTTGAAGAAACTATATATATTTTCAGGTGCTGTAGCTTCTATGTTTTGGATTGACGATGAATTAGGGGTTGATATTTATCTTGATGGTAAGTTAAATAATTTTTGTTTTGTTTTCAAGTAAAATGTTATTGTATGGTTAAGATGATTTTTGTTCATTCTTGTTATAATTTTAATTTCTTACATTGTTACTCTTTGTAAACTTGTTTAGTTTGATGATGAAGTAAGTCTTTGTTCATACAGATTCTAAAGCCCCAGACAATGGTAGAATTGGATGTCAGATCTTAATCTCAACTCCCAATTTAGTGCTTCCACTAAAGTTTTCCTTTTCATTTTAAAGGTAGATTCCTATAACTTCTGTTGTTTGATTTATGTCCTATTATGTGTCATCTGCCCACCTCTGTTGTGTCTTACCCCTTTCCCTACAGCTCTTCACCTTTTTTAAAACTAGATCTTTCATAGACTAAGAGGTGAAATAATTTAAGAATCATTGCACCTGGGCCCTGTTATTTGGCTCTGATAAATGTTAAGAGTCTTGATTTTGATTATGTGAAAACAAACTGGAAATAACACGTCTTGTGTAACTTATCACATTTCACTTTATATTATGAAACTTAAATTTGTCTCAATATTTTGGATTATAAGCTAAAAAGCTTGTTTATTTAATTTTAAAATTTTATTTATTTTATATCCTCTCTAGTACCTCAAAATAGTGCTGGAGACTCAGTACATATTTGAAAATGCATTTACTTATTAATGGAATTGAATTAAATTATAGCCTTGGCAAGAGGGAAAAAAGCAGTATTTTATTGAGTAACATTTGTGAGCTGAAATAGGTTAGTTTTAATTTTTATTCTCAAGTATAAAGGTGATTAAAAGATCTATTTCTTTGTAGGTATTATAACTGTTGTGGATTCAAAATATGGATTAAAAGTAAGTTGAAAGATTGCTGTGAGGTGCTAATTTGTTAAGAGCTGGGTATATGGGGATTGATTATATTATTTTCTCTACATTTGTGTGTGTTTAAAATTTTTCTTAACAAAATCTTTTTTAAAAAAGTATCCTGAACATTAGATGAAATTTGTGTGTTTTTAAATTATTATTTTGTGCTTTTGAATTAAATAATTTCTATTACTCTGGCTTGATGTGATAAAAGTTGGAAGTATAATATTTTGTAATAAGGATATTACATGATAAAGTTTGGGTGTGTATAACTCCTCAGCAGGATTCAACCCCAATGTTGTTGAGTTTTTCTGATTGATAGAGGAAACTGAGCTTGATAAAGCATATGAGAGCTTATTTTTCTTGTTAAACTGCTATCGGACACAAGCTGGAGATAATTGAACTTTAAAAAAATACTGCTTTACCTTATTTTGAAGAAATCAAAATTTATACATAGGTTTAGTGAGGAGCAACTTTTCATTAAAAGGCATCCTGCTCTAAATGTTTTTGGAACTACCAAGGTTCTCAGATGCACTTTAAATGGGCTTCAATTTATAAGATGCACTTAGTAAGATTTTTAAAAGTATGTTGTTACATAAAGTAAAATCATGTTTCTCAACTTACCAAGTGAAATACTGCTAAAAGAAGAGAATGAAATTGTCCTCCCTCTCACAGTTCCAATCTGGGGATATGGAGAGTGCCCAAAGTAATAATTTTTTAGAAGTTTAAATTTAACATTTAAAAATTTGTGTTCATTTTGTGTTCTATCCTACAATATATCTAAACATTAATTTGAAATAATTTGTTTTTCTTCTAAACCTTTATTAAAATGATGCTCTAGAAATCTATGGCAGGCTTGTCAGATGGTTACCAATATCCTTTTTCTGGCCCTTCAGTTCCTTGGGGGATAGAGCACCCTAATTTGAGAAGTTTGGGAGATAATTCCCTTTTAGATTTTTAAGTCTAAATTTATTAAAAATAGTCTTAAGACTCAAAGTGAGATTCCAAATATTACAATTTTACTCAGGAAAAATCCAACTGTACTGATACCATAACATTTCTAGCAAAATGCTGATGAAGGAAGCAAAAAAAAAGTCTAAGTTTTCATTCTGAATGATTATTACCGGCATGTTTGAATTCATCTCCTATATAAATTTATTACCAAATTTGGGATATGTATGGGATAGATAGCAGTTAGGATTCTTTTAAATATATAGACTTAAAGTGCCATACCTAAAGTCAGACTCTTTATGTATTTATGATTATAGGAATAATTTTATATGTATATTTGGGTATGGAGAGGAGTTAAGTACAATCTATTATCAGTGTGATAGAGGCCAAAGAATCAAAACAGCATTCTAAATAATGCAAACACAGTAAACGTTTAACCCCCTGCCACCTTGATAAAACCTTTTAAATTATTAAATCAATATACCTACATAAAACTGACATACTGTCAGGATAATGGAAACTTGAGATTTTCGAAGTCAGATGCTAGATAAATAACTTTTCCTTTATATAAAGAATTTGCCAACTTGTCCAATTCCTCGGGTTGCAAAGCTTGACCTCAGTAGCTGCTTGTGATTCAGAGAATTCTGAGGCAGTACAAGTAATGACACTTGGATAATGGGCAGCAATTTAAGGGTGTCATGCTTCACAGAGCCAGCCCATCAAAAGTAAAGCTGAGAAATGGTACCTTGTGGCCAGCCAGCCAAATTGAAACTGAAATGGTAATTGATATCATGGGCTATCACTCTAATGGGATTGTCACCCATTGATCTGAAATATTCATTTTTTAATCATGGGCAAAGAATTGGACAACTTCAAATGACAGCCCTCTATTCTCAGGACTTGACACCCAGACCACTGACATTGTTCTTTTCAGTTCTACAAATGTGACAGCATTTAATGCAATAAAATCAATGAATGAAGTTACAGAGAAAAGGTCAAGGGAGAGGTTTCTTTTTGGTTCTTTTGTCCTATCGCACAAGCTGTTGAAACAATTCAGTCAGAAAACAGTTTGGCTTGGAAAAACCAGAAAAATAAATAGACTGACATTATGCAATAATCTTTTTAAAAAAGCTAAAATAGTGTTAGATTTATAACCCATCCATTGAAAAGAAATATCTACTGCTGCTTTTTTAAAAAATGTCATCTGACATCTTTGACACTAGATTTATTTCCACTTTGGTCAACAACAGTGTTTTTTTCTTTCCTTTTTTTTTTTTGATGCAGCTTGTTTCTATTTCTGAAGAAAAAGATACCCTATAGCCCTTATTGAAGTTGTGTCTACCGTGGTGTTATTTAAAAGGGTTTCTTTCTCATGGTATATTAAGTTAGAGGGTTGAGCCTTAATCTTTTGGATATGTTGGATTAATTAGTGCCAAAGTTATTTTTGTCTTTTTTGATATATAAGCAAAAGCCATAGTCTTTAAGCAGAGATGAGGGCTCCATTGGGGAGGTGTATATATATTTATAAATATTTTGAAAAAAAATTTGCAAAAACTTTTCCTTCCTTGCCTGTACAGGTAGAGTAGAATGACAAAATTTTCATTTTTTGACCTTATAAATAGAAGTCATCTGACTTAATGGTGTATAAGGTATTATTGGAGAATGTCCTTTTGAATAGCAGACATTGGTTTTAGTCTTTTTGTAGAGTTTGTCTTGGGGGAGATAGGAGGTTGCATAAGGGAAATGTTGGGCTGATATCCAGAGAAAATGTTAGTTTGCATTTATTATTTTTTTATGTTTGTATAGCCGTCATACGTGCCTAGGACAGAGCATTTATCTCTTCAGCTATAGATATATGTGATTATTACATGTCATATTCTTAATAGAGTTGTATGTGTTGACAGGTTTTTATTTTGGAGAGTTTTAATGTGTTTTTATATGTGATACTTCTCGACTGCCTGGAGGTAGTAAAATATTATCCATCCCATTTAGCTTTGAATGAAGATATCTAATCTTTTTGAGGAGTAAATGCATTAAAAACATGAATTACTTTGTGAAACTACAATTTTATTGGTTCCATTTAGGTATGAAAACTCAAAACTAGTTTCTAATTTTCTTGCCATAGCTTTTTTATACTGCACCTGCTCACAGCCAATAACCCCAAACTCATATGTAAACAAAGCTTCCAAAAGGTCAACAATACCATATTTTGAAAAATATTTTAAAAGAACTTAAGTATTACAGGATCATTCAGGAACAGATTACTTGCTAAAAATACGTCTTTACTAAATAGTTTTACTGCTGAATAGAAAGGGATTTGTTGCTTAGTGTTATACAAAAATTTTCAAATAACAACATTCATGTATCTATGTGAACAAATAAGGGGTGTTAATTAAAATTCATTTAACAAATATTTGTTGAGCCTGGGTGTGAGGTACTCTTTCCAGGATGGTAACAGCCTTATTCTCTAGAGGACACAGTAATAGGATTTGTTAGAGCTTCAGGCCAAGAATAATTAGCAAAAGTAATAAACTTGGTCTTCTGGCAAGGAACGATTTTTTGCTACAATATTCTCCAAGTTCTGTGACTTCCATAATTTGAGTGTGTCTGCAGTTAAATTTATAGGATTGTACCACCTAAAGTGGAAATAAGTGCATCATTACTGTAATTTTAGTTTAGCCTTGTTTCCCCCAAAATAGAATTTGGCAAACTTATAGGAGAAAAATGTTTTTCCTCTAGAGACTTAACCAATACTATTAAATAAAATTATTACCAATTTGCTCTTAGGTTTCAAACTATCCAAGTACCGTAATGATTTACCTCCCTTTGAATTGTGAAACTGGTTTGGTGAAATAATTTTTTCAGTATATGGTCCCGAAGCAAGCATGGTAAAATAATTTTGAATGTAATTTTTAGGTAATCTTTATGTATGTACTGTTATGTGGTTATTAACATTTGTGTAACACTGTATGCAAGACTGATTTTATAAGACAAAGCTTTCAAAGAGATTTTAAAATTATGTTCATTTTATTTCTATTGAGCACATTTTCAATTTTGAAAAATAGCCCTATAGTGGGGTATCCTGTAATGGTCAGTCTTAGAATTAGTTTCTTCTTTTATAAAATGAGGAGAATAGCCTTTTTCTATAATTGTTATGAAGGCTAAATGAAATAATATGTGTAAAGGATTTAATAATTGCGAAGTTTGATTCAAATATAAAGAATATTAATCTGATTGCCTCTAACTTCAGTAGGCAGCTTTTAAGAGTTAAAATAATGAAGGTGAAATATTTTTCAGGGGAACCTTATGGCATTGATAACATTAGGGATATAAATAGGATTATGGAAAAATAATAATTGCCTCCAGAGAGATGAGAACTACCTCGTGGGCCTCTAAGTCAATGTCAAAATATTTTTTTTGGAGCCAGCTTGACTCTGGAGAGGTCAGCAAAATAAACAGTTGCATGGAGAGGCCAGATCACTCAAGTATTTCTAAATGATAAACTGCTTTTGCGCTAGAATTAGGGCTGTGCCCTTCTCTCAGCATATTTGTTTCTAGGGTATATGAAGGGCCCAGTACGAGTTAATATAATGTACCATTCTGGGGTGGGGAGTGGGTCTATTTTATTATTAGCATTCTGTCAACTGGGTTCTTTAACTTGAATTTATGTATATCTGTTTTACAGAGAACATATATATTCATAGTGATGAAGATATTTACTAAAGATCCTGATAAATCTTCTGAAGTGTAGTTTTTTAAGGGAAGTATATTAGGCTATAACAAATCCTATTATTATGTCCTCTTGAGTGGGTAGAAATTGAGGGAAGTATATTAGATTTTAAGAAAGTACAATTTCAGTCGCCGTCTTTTTAATAAGTAATAAATATTTAGAACAAGAACAATTTTATAAAAAGGAAAATGCCTAAAACCTGAACTCTAATGTTCTATGTTGTTATGACTTTATTTAAATATGGAGGGTTTTTCTTTTAAGAAAAAGATGCAGAAGACACAATTTAAG